TGCTTGTTAGCACTTTGCCAGTCACCAGATCCCAAGTCCACCAATAAGCGGGTGTCAGAGGACATTTCATCCCGTTAAGTCAGATGTACCGGGCATTTGTGAAAGCATGAAGAAGATTTGTATTCATTCCTAAGATGTCCAAGCCAGAATAGTGCAATTATTAGTGCAGCTATTCTGGCTATACATCTGTTCCACACTTGGGTCAGAGCAGGTTAACTCAACAATGACTGGAAATGATTTGCTACAGAGGTTCATGGTCCCCAGAAGATGATTTTGGTCATCATCCCCATAGCTTTTATTTACTATCAAAATGTACTGTAACTAAAAAGCATTAATTCAGGCAGAGCACTGAAATTGTGCTGATAGCAACCATCTCCATTACAGTGGAGCTAAGGCATCCACTGAGGAAGGACATGAGATATTGGAAAGCTTTGGAAACAACAATTGAGTGGGACATTTTTTTGGATTTATGTTTTTGGTCAAAACCGTGTATGTCCAGAAGTCAATATCAAAAGACCACTTTTGTCCTTGAGGTCAGAAAGACTTACCACTTGCACCAGAGATATTTCAAAATATAGTAAGATGGTTGCCTTGAGATTTGCTGATCACAATTATAAAGAACCCTTACTGTATGAATTTAACATTACTTGTTACATCGTGCCTTCCAGAAGGCAAAATGTGCTTTTTAGTAAGTACACGGGGCATAATAAGCTCCAAGGGGCTACTTACTGTACAAAGCTTCAGACTTAGGCAGTTGAAGTTGTTGCTCAACAGCACCTTTACAGAGTTTAGAGACACAGCACTTCTTGTTTCCTATTTTTCTTGCCAACATACTTCCACCCAAATCCACTTCTCTAACCTTTTGGGTTCTGCTTCCCCACGGTGTTGTTATGGTTAGATCTTCCCCATTTTATCTGATGTACAATGTCGTCCTCAAAGTGTGGACGTACAGCTGCGAACACATTTCTGCACCATGCAGTGCTACCAGTGGGGTGCTTTGCATTAGGGCTAGAATCTCGCTCAGCATGGATGCTGTCTCTACAATGTATACATGTATATTTCATGAGCATGTGAAAATGTATGCTTCAGTTCTTTCTCTTTTTTTCCTCAATGGAAGCATATAAAAAGACAAATAGATCATGGTCATCTGTAAATCATCGATACTGCCACTATGTATCTGAATATGCAAGATTAAAACAGACTTCAGTCATACAATCATTTCCACCATTCCTTTTTCTTTGTGCTGCAGTAGGGCCAGTGGCCTGATTAGCTTGCTGGAGGCAGGCCGTTCCCTTGCCCTCTCTTTGCTCCACATAAATAACTGTATCATTGCTTTGTGAATTAACAAACACAGACATATATTGCTGCTCTTCTATCTCACTTGCCTTCACTGTTTTTTGCCACTATGCCTGCTTTGCATTCTGAATTCACTGATTAAGTAAACCTGATTAGCTGAGCTGCCGCTGCGAAGTTCACTCCTCAATTCCTCAAAGAGGATCTTTTTTCTCACTCCATTTGCAGTTCCTCTATCTTGTCTTTCAAAGAGACGAATGGGTGGTGAGATTTGACAGGCCCTTTTCTCCCAACAGAAAGGTAGCTTCCTGTACCCGATGTTTCCACTGATGAAGGCTGACAATTTGCAATATCACCTACAAAGTACTACTCTTTTCCCCATCAACTTAAACATCACAGAAATCATTTGGGAGGGGTCTGGATTGCTTTCTCTTTAGGAAACTAAGTCAAAAGCAATTTGCTCAGAAATATACAGCAGCGATTTTGTGTACCTCTGTGCCTATAATATCACCTTCTTATACCAATAAATCTGTAATGTTTTGCAGTATCCAGCTTTTTCATAACACTTGCATACATTTTCACATTTAATGAGCAATTCCTGAAATAATTATTTTTAAATTCTGCCTTTGTGCCTTACCTTCTCCTTCAGTTGTATTGTTGCCAAGACATCTCACGCCAATTGTGTATAAAATCTTTGCACATGGGTCCTGTGACTTTTTTTTACTGACAACTATTGTACCACATAAATTATTTACATTATTTTCAATACAATCCTCATAGCCACCCTTTAGATTTGTATCCCAGCCAGTGTATGCAGTGTTAGTTTCAAAATGGTCAGTATTGCACACTGATCAACTGCACTTTTTTTTTTTTTTTTATTATTCTATGAACTATTTGAAGTTATATATTGCATTAAAGTCCATGGAGGCCTGTTGAGTCTAATTGTATTTATAACACAGCACCTGCATACATATAAACTGTATGAACAAATGCTCACTCTTACACAGTGACTAACTGTACATAATCTCATCATGACAACATTCAGTGTTTATTAGTTATGATGAGCATTGTAATGTTTTTTAGTCCCACTGTTAAACTCAGGACTATACAAGATATTGAAATTTTAAAATCCTCATTCTTGCAAAATGACTTATACAACAAAGTCATACAATGTAATGACTCAAAGCTTAATGCAGAAGTGTTTTAAAGCTCACATGGATTATAAAGTCATCCAAAAATAATGCCATTCAGCAGCCACACACGCAGGAAACACAGGCGTTTTCCTCAGGAAATGCTTCTCTAGTTTTATATACCTCTGGGTAGTTGCATAATTGAAGGAGGACTGATTTTGAGTAACATTTAGCAGTACTATCAAATGTAAAGTGATTTAGCTCACACACAAAAAGTAACTGTCTTCCAAGTTGGAAACTGGGCCAGTTTTGGCGTTGTCAGCACTCTCTCCAGTTCACTCACTATAAAACTCAGCATGTTACCAACCAAACAGATGGAATCCCACAGTGTTTGAATTTCATCTGTGAAAATGGTTTATTTAAATATTATTCTGATATCGTCATTATAATACAAACTGTTGAAATGTTCCAGTACAGAAGCCTCACACAATACCAAAGAAAAGAGAACTATTATTCATCAAAATTTTTGACAGCTCCACAAACAGACAGGACTGCATTGAAATGAAATACATTAGAAGAAACAAATACATCTATGATGGATGAGTAGAGTGGCATATAAAACCGAACAGAAAAATGTTTGTGTGGTGTTTCTGAAATAACGTCCCTGGATGAAGGAACTGCTCCAGCTGTCATTGTGATCTGTTCTCCTCTTTGGTAACAAAGACCAGTTCAGCCTCCGTCACAACCCAAACTCATCAATCAGTGTTTTACTAAGCATAATTTTTTACCACTCCAATCACAATATCAAATCAATCGCTCCAATCTCTCCTTCTTTGTTATTCAGTATGTTGTAAGGACCCACAGTCAAGCGAGTCCCCGAGATTAGAAAGAAAGCTTTATAAAGGAGATGTGTCTAATATATATAGGTTTTTTTTTTGTCAAATAAATTCTAGCCAAGTTAATTTTGAAGAGATGAAAACCCTATTGGACTTGTTAACACCTGAATATGAGTACATGACACCATTGTTACAAGTACAGAACATCACTGGCCTCTGCCTTTTTAAATGGATTTTTAAAAAAATGTTAACATGCTAATTATTTCATTTACAAGTTGTACAGATGTGTAACTTTATACATGAGGGTTGAATAAACTATCCACTCAAACTGTGCACACTCTCTCCAAAGTGCTTTGGCACATTTCCAACAGAATCAACATCCAAATCCCAATCTCAGTACCTTAAAATAAGCTGTACTCTTTCTGCAAACTAACATTGTGAATCATATTACATAACATGTCTCATTTCAAAACACAACAATCCATTTTCAGTCACAGCAGAGTGGCATATATTACAGTGTTACTAGATTATCAGTCTAAATACACCCCGAAGCTACGTGGACCTTGAGGGTTTAGACAGGGTTGCCCTCTATTGCCCACACATGTTGCATCTAGACTGGAAGCTGCTGATCAGTAGATGTCCCTCGTCTGATCCCAAAGCATGACAAGCTCTGTCAGCCTCTAAATGTCAGCGCTGAATCAACAAGTTTCCCTCCACTGTTCTTTGGGAATGCAGTAACAACTATACAAGGGGAATTTCTGCCTCGTTTGTAAAGCGGATTAAAAGCTTGAAAGTATTTTTCTTTTTGAAAACACACAGCACTGTATCCGTTGGCAAGTACATCTGTATGTTATGTTTGAATGTTAGATTATACCATACAACACATGAGGAACTACATAATCATGCTTAATGTTGGTGTAAATTTTGGGCATCAACTGTGCAAGAAATTGTATGTGCTTAGGGGTCAGTGTCTACCAAAATAAAATATTGATCTCATTGCAGGGCAACTCGGCAGCAGGATACTCATGGTGGATAACACTGACTTACAGACATAAATCAACTACTCTATTACTCTATTACTTATAAATATTTCAGTTTGAATTGGAACATCTGCATTTCTGATGGATCGTGCACAATTTCCTTTTCAGCTCAAAAGTTAACAACAACAGAAGAATCCCATTTATTTTATTTTAGAGGTTATCATGTAACACGGTAATGATCTGAAGCTGTTACACTACCAAACCACAAAACACCTTTGTCTCTGTTTGTGTCAGATTGTCAAAGCATTTTGCTTATAAATGCTCTGCAAGGATAATAAAAAAATCTGTGATATCTGAAAATAAAGCTAAAAATATATTACTGTAAGATATAAGAAGGAAGATTTCAACAAAACTAACATTTTTCTCCCAAACATGGGTCATATACAATGTTAAGATGATATGAAAGTCTACTATCTTGGTTGCACTGCATCTCATGCCACCATCCAGCCACCCCTTTACCTGCAAATGTGTGTGTTTGTGTGCTTGCATCAACATAATATGATTCAAAGTGGGTAAATTCTTATTCATCTTCTGTAATGATGAGGCCAACCTGGGAGGTACACAGCAACTGAAGCATGCCATTTAAAAGTGGTGCAGGTCAATTAAAATTAATAATCCAATGGTCACATATCAGGATTTTCAATGACTCATAAATTGTGACATCCTTTTTATTCCTGCTGAGGATGCAATACAAATTAAAATGACAAGGAACAGTTAGTTTATTTTTTTCACACCAAAGCTAGCACATTACCATGAAGCTTAATTCAACATATGTAACACTGAACTCTAAGTGTTGACTTGTAGCTCAAAACGTTTGCTCTCCACTTTTAGGCCTTCTGACCAATAAGCATGCACACCTGTACATGTATCACTAACAAGGTATTTGTATGGCCAAAATAGTGAAGAAAAATGAGAGATGTAACTTTTTAACCTGATGGTCAATGTTAACAGTCTAACTTAACATGTACTTTAATTTCTTTTGTCTCTTTGAGTGCCTATTCACAATGAAGTCCCATAGCTAATATGGTGAGTGTCAGCTATGTGTGCAGCACATAAAGTAATTCTAGGTGTTTCAAACAAAACAGATACATATCTAGAATCATATATATTTCACAAATGAAGATTCTCCTTTTTTCTTGTTCACTTTTGAGCAATGAACACACAAACTCGAACAGCTAAACCAGGTCATTCTTGCACCAGAGTTATCCAAAAAGATACAGAGGCTGTTTTCACACCGGAGCGTTGCACCTGAGATGGTGTTGAGTCAATGTCTGTTCAAAAGGTAATCCAGCTGGTTAAAGGTGACTGGTGTTTACAGTGGCTAATAACAATGTGCTGGGTGCAAGAGCAGTAGTGGCTGGGAAATGAGGGCAAACTGTGCTGTCTGTATGGTGTGTGTGTGTGTGGGGGGGAGGGTAAAACAGGCAATTTTCTCGTTCACATTGAGAGCAAACAGAGAGAGCGTGATCTGGGCGCTAACCATGTCAGTTCTTCAAATTATAACAAGGCATCCCTCACCAAAGCACATGCCAGAAGGAGGACAGCCAGTCCATAGCTGGATGATATTCTTGTACCTGTGAAGAGAGGAAATAAATTATTCAAAGATGTACAATCAACATTACATTTTCTGATATTGCTTGATGAATAGATAAGGGCAAAAACGGGCAATATGTAACGATAATGGAAACGCTTTTCTAAATCTCTCTACGTACTTTTGACCACCTGAAAGAAAATGCACACTACTTCATGCAGTGGGACAAAATGTGTAATGTATCTAACTTGTGTTGCCTGTTTGAGCTTCACCCTCTTATTCATTCGAAATTTACCCCATAAGGTATTTTGGTCCATAAGTCACCTACAAAGCATGTGAGCATATGTAGCAAAATCTTGACTTTTTGTGACATGTGTCATCAATTATTAGACCATTAAACATTCATCATTCACATCCATCCGTCTTGTGACTCGTTAAAGTAAACAGCCTTTGAACGGTTATGAAAAAGATTTACGCAGGAAGCTGCCGGTGCCCTGACAACTCTGACTGTTTGCTGAGCATCTGACATGACTAACCACTGCAAACTAGAACACAGCCTCCTCAGCCTACTGTTTGATTCGCCTGCGTCTCGGCCACATCCAACTGAGCAAAGTAACAGCTGACAACTATGCGATCCTATGCAGCAGAATTCCTTGGACAAAAAATAGTTTACTCTCCATCAGCAGAAACAGAGAAAGACAGTATTTCAAAAAGACAGAGCTTCAAAGGACATCGAAGTGATAAAGAAAGAGCTGATGACTGATGGACTACAGTTGAAAATTAGCCTGCTGGCTAACACTGGCACATTTACAGAAATGTTGATTAATGTGCACTGTCCTTAAATAAATAAATGAGAAATGAGAAATGAGACGTAAGAAGTTGTAATCCCATGAAAATAGACAGTGGAATATTCACTAAATCATTTTGACAATGACTAGATTCCTGTGTCAGACCGGCGAAGGATCCAGGAAGGAAACCGTCTATGGGGACACTTTGTTCCTTGCGACCCAGCTTAGGACTGTCTGGGTTGCTGGGAGTTGGGGGATGAAGGGAGGAATGGTAGGGGAGAGGGGGGACAGAGATGGAGGGCTTTGACCCTTGATTCCTCCTCGCCACATCTCATTTGGCTTGAGGTGATGTAGAGAACAGGAGTGCCACAGAGGAGCACCAATCACTCTGGGGCAAAACATCCTTCACACAGAGAATTATTAATCAAGCTCCTGCCAGGAGTCAGAACAAGACAGATGAAGAGATGTTGCAGTAAAATGGACATGGAAATAAATCCACTAATTCACAGATATCACAGTTTTTATAATGTTCCACTCACTAACAAAATAAACAAAACCTCAGTTAAAGCTGTAAATTTTCTATTAAAACCTGAAAACCACTCGTGATGGAAAAATTACATCAAGCAGGTTTTTTGTGAGGGCCCTCAGAAGTGTGAGAACTGAAATTGCCAAACTAACCTTTTCAATTCTGAACATGTTGGACCATTTTGTGGTACAGATATGAAGTCACATATGGCGATATAGTAGATTTGTAACGCAAGGCTACTATCAGTGTCTGTGTTTCACAAAGATTTTAAGAATGACTTTTTTGCTAATAAACTCTGCTTGTTTACACTTCCATGCTGTTAGTCTATGGCCTATTTGTTTACATTTTACCAACTCTTGGGAAATCATGATGCCATGTGCTGCTGATTTGGCTGCTCGCAGTCCCTATTAATATTGTAGAGACAACAAACATCTACCTTTCTAGACGCACAGATGGGCTCTAAGAATGGCTTGTCCTTGTGTCGGGTTAAATTAACGCAATATACATAGTACTTCTCTTTGTAATGTATTGCTTTGAAAGATTGCAATGTATGACAGATCAAGGTAGTGATTTATGTGTTCACATTCAAGATACTGATATGAAGTTTGAAAAGACTCAAACCACAGTCAGTGTATCTCCTAACATGTCCTGTGTCTGTCTCACAGCCTGATGTCTCTTCTTCCTCTGAGACGTAGAGCTCCACTGTTGTCCAGACATTATTAAAACACGACAATACGGCATGTTCCTTCATCACCATCAGCACACACACTGTAGTTGACATTTACTCATTTAGCTGACACTTTTTATCCAAAGTGATTTATGTCAGAGATCGCACACTTCTGGAACAACTAGGGGTTATGTGTCTTGCTCAGGGACACATTTGTGGATGTGTCACAGTGGGGAATTGAACCTGGGTCTCTCTCACCAAAGACATGTGTCTTATTCACAGCGTCATCCCCACCCTAACCAGTTTATTCTTACTCAGTCCCACATACACCGTCCTGCTGTCGTTAGATCACCACATGTGGATTTATCCGCTGATGAAAATAGTTCCTAACAAATGCATGTTGGCTAATTACTGCAGTGGCCAGCTGTGACCCAAACTAAAAACATAATCACCATCATTTTTAATGAAACGTCATTGCTGCAAGTGTACTAGAGATACTAAAATGAAGCAGAACATGTTTGATTTGAGGGTTTAAAAGTGATCTAGCACCTCTATCAAGAAGTATTCTTAAAAAAAATATTGCACTTATATTTACAGCCATGTATAGCGCTGGCCTGCTCATTGGGAACAAAGGGGATATGGTGTCTTGCTCAAGGACACTTTGACATGCAGGCAGGATGATCAACTGAACCTTCAGCAGGTCCAACTGCAGCAGAACTTCCTGCCAACATCAATCATTATACTTCCAACATTTCAAGCTGATCCTACAAAAATTTAATCAAACAAAAACAAATTTATTTTTGTCAAGATACAACTAAACACAGAGGCAATACACTGAGACAGGGCTACCAGAGCTGGGTCATGATGACCTCTTCTGGGTATAACCCCACATGATGGGTCACTGCAGGCGGCACAGCTGTGCTCGGTCATTTCTTTGGTGTCAGTTCTGACATCTTCCAAATGTACTTTTATAATCTGTTGAAGCAATAGTGCTACAAGATTCTAGAGGGAGTCTCTAGAATCTGGTGACCAAACACTCACACAGCGCAGCAGGGAGATAGTTATGCACACATTTTTGATTAGCTGTTGTAGGGGTTTTCTCTTGTTTTAGTTTGTACTTGCAAAGTAGTTTCAGTTTTGTTGTCTGAGAGAACACAAACAGTTAAGAAATGTGCATGTAGATGTGATTTTATCAGGTTAAGGATAACTGGAGAAAGTGTACCCCATATTTGCTTGTTTCTTCAATTTGAGAAGAATGTGTCTAAATACAGACAGACAAAAGCATGATGTCCTGCTGTCTCCAAATTCACAAATCACCATTCATAGTGAGTCAGGATATATCAAGCGAGCTGTAGTTGTGTTGTTTACTTTCAGGATAATTAAGGGCCTTTTTCCATAGTTTTTGTCTATCAGTTATGATACCACTGTACTAAATAATTGTAATTTTGCCCCAAACAGTTAAAAAAAGAGAGAGAAGCAATAATATGACATAATAAGCCACTTTCAAACAGAGATCCCGCAATAAACAAGGAAAGAATGTCTGCCAATACGCCGCATTCACTCATTCATACTGAACAAAAGATTGCAGCATAGCTTTCCAGCTTTCCGTGACCGTGACTTGTAACACAACAGCATTGAAACGCCAGACCTGTTCCGGCATGCCGGCTGCGGCATTTCACACAGACATTGTTCTGGTTCTGTTGCTACCAAAAGTCACAGGCGGGTCAAATGTGACCTCTTTCTGGCTCTGTACCTTTCATACAGCGCAGCAAGCCGGCATATTAGCTTAATAATCCTGGAAAATAACGATCTGTGAAGGCGCCTATAGTTGGCTCCGAGGACTCTGCTTAGTAAAGGGCTGTGTGGGTAACAAGACCTGGTTGTGGATCTAGCGAGGGCCAGGGCACCGGGGACCAGTTCTTATCGAGGGAGTCTGTGTGGACATTGTGGAGGCCTACAGGTAGCTGGGGGGAGTGTACACTGACAATAAACAAAGAACACTTAAGCCATTAAGGGTCAGAGCCATCTCTACTTTTTGAGGAGCCTGAGCTCCTTCAACTCCTGCCAGACAATGCTGAGGATATTTCACGAGTCTGAGGTGGCCAGTGCTGTCGTGTTTGCTGCTGTGTGCTGAGACAGCAGGTTGAGGCCAGCGGACGACAACAGAGTCAACTGATCTGGCCCTTGGACACCCTGTCAGCAGCCATTACCCTATCATTTATTTATAATTTAATATAAAACAACTATGCAATACTGATTTAACAGTGCATTGATTGTGTTCCATAATTCAACTGTGCAATGATCTGGTATACTCTGGCATTGATACTGCATTTATGCTGTACATTTCTACTATTATGTATTTACTAATATTATTTATTGATACTGTTCTTGAAATTTAACACATTTATAGACCCCTCTTCAAGTATCTTCAACCATGTAGTATCAGTTGTTCTGTCCCCAGCGCTAAAAATACATGTAAGCCATCCACATACAACTAGAAGTTAAGCTGTTCTTATATGTAAATCACTTTATCAGCTCTTTTTTGTGCGCTGGTTTTCACTTCTAACCTTGCCAGCAATCACACTAAAGGCAAAGGTACCTTCTGTGCTCCTGTGCTATTTTTAGAAAACAACAAAGGAAGAACATTTGTGAAATATTGTTGTTTTTGTACACTACCATGCATTTTAATTGCTGAGCAAAGAAAAATTACAAAATAGAGTCCAGTAATACAGCTGAATACACAAAGAAACTACCTTTTATGTGGGCAGCAGTCGTATGTTTTCATTTATCCTTCATGGTGGCTAAAAGGATCGCCACCCACTTCCTGTCATAGTTTTGTTGACAAGGTCACTATGTCTTAACAAGTGATTTACAGCTGAATTCCTATGTGGTTATTCAGCTGAAGAGGGGACGCTCAAAGAAAAGTGATGGCTGGCAGATCGGATTTGGGTATGTCAGAGTTTTATTCAATGTCTCAGGGCGTAGAACTGTGCATGATGCCTCCTTTGCATTTTCTCCATGTCTTTTCCTGGATTTCATCCACAGTCGGAGGGACTGCAGAC